AAAGACAATATCACACTGAAACAAAGCACAAACTACAAACTAAAAAGGAATGCCATTTGACTCCAAATCAATGTTTTGCCCACACTGCCATTAAAGTTAATTTTAATGAAAAAAAAACAAAATGCAACACGTGACAACAAAAAACAAAAACACAAGCCCAAAAACACAAGACAAAAAAAGACATCACAAGACAAAAAAAGAATAAAACAAAAACACCACAAGCCTAAAAACAACAAACAAACAACATTACAAAAAACAGACAAAAAGCAAACAAGAAACAAAATGACAAAAAGCAAACAAGATAACAAACAAAAGACAAAAACAAACAAGGTAACAAATAACAAGACAAAAACAACACAAGCAACAAAAACAAAACAAGACTAAAGAAAAAAAAATAACCCCCCCAAAAAAACAAGCCAAAAAAACAAGACGAGAAAAAAAAAAGCAAACAAGACAAGACAAAAACACAAGCCAAAAGATAAAAACAAGACAAGAAAAACAAAACATTCCAAAACAAAGGAAAAAGCAAACAAAACAAATAAAATAAGACAAAAACAACAAGCAACAGAGTACAAGACAAAAAAAAAAACATCATAAGACAAAAACAAAAAAAAAACCAGACAAGACGAAAAAAAAAACACATTGTTTTTGCATTTACATTCAGTGTTGCAGTACTAAAGTCTGGCTCAGCCAGGACTCAGTGTCCAAGACTAGACTCACAAGTCCTAGTCCTAGACCATATTTTCTAGTCTAGACACAGACTAGTCACAGAAAATATGGTCTTAGACTCAGACTTGAGAGGGACTTCTTTGCATGTTTTGTCCGAACTTCAGTCCACACGGTTATCATTATGCTGTTACGGTGTTATCATGAAATACTTACGAAAGGCATATTACAATTTTAGTTTTATTGCGATTCATTTCAAATGTTGTGTGTAAAAACATCTAAAGAAAAGCAGTAACACTTTAGTAAAGGGACCAATTTTATTGGCCGTTTATTAGTACTTATAAAGCACGTATTCTGCATGACCATATGTGACCCTGGACCACAAAACCAGTCATAAGGGTCAATTTTTGGAAATTGAGATTTATACATCACCTGAAAGCTGAATCAATAAGCTTTCCATTGATGTATAGTTTGTTAGGATAGGACAATATTTGGCCGAGATACAACTATTTGAAAATCTGGAATCTGAGGGTGCAAAAAAATCAAAATATTGAAAAAATCGCCTTTAAAGTTGCCCAAATTAAGTTCTTAGTAATGTATATTACTAATCAAAAATGAAGTTTTGATATATTTACAGTAGGAAATTTACAAAATATCTTCATGGAACATGATCTTTACTTAATATCCTAATGATTTTTGGCATAAAAGAAAAATCAACAATTATGACCCATACAATGTATTTTTGGCTATTGCTACAAATATACCCCAGCAACTTAAGACTGGTTTCGTGGTCCAGGGTCACATTCTACATCTCTAATCTTACCCAATACCTAAATTTAACAACTACCTTAATAATGAGCAGCAAATTAGATGTTTATTGAGGTAAAAGTCAGTTAATGGTTTGTTAATTGCGAGAATTGGACCTTAAAATAAATTGTGACCAGAAAAGCAGATCCACACACTGTACATTCTAAAGCACAAATATCTGCTGAATGTCCTAGCGACTAGCGTCCAGATGAAAACTCGCATTGATTAGATGTCTTGGAAACATCCATGCTATCAATAAAAGTCCAAACGAGATAATCTTCCCTTCTGAACTGCATAAGGACAAGTAAATTACAGAATTATCATTTTTGGATGAACTATTCCTCACATTCTTTCTCCCCATCTAGTTTTGCATGGACATTTTCACAGCATATTACATCTATATTGAGATTTTTTGTTGACAAAGGCCAGTGCTCAGTGCCACCATCATCACTGACTTCTCCCAGACCTCCCATGAGCTTCGTTCAGATGCATTCAAACGTTGGTCTTTAAAAGGACCGAGCGTTTCTGACAGGGGAAATGGGATGTTATTGAGTTTAATAAGCTGTGTCATGAATGTGTGTTTATTTAGCATCCACAGCACTGATAAAATGACTGGAATGTCTTCAGCCATCAAAGGTCCTGTCTGTTTTTTCCTGCTCTGACATATGCCTTGTAGAAACTTCTGTGGGACTGAGACCATTACTAAATATCAGACATATCTCGCAATAACTTTCCCACAACTTCATCTGCTCAATTTTAGCTTTTGGGACAGAATCTGGAGCACTTTCCCTTCAGATTGTTGCCTGTTCTTCCATTTTTTTTATCCCCCAAGATGCTACAGAGTCAGCGGAGAACAGCAGAGCAGCACTAATAAGTACATAACTCATATAATAATGAAGATCTCGTAGGCAGCGCGCTATAATGATGCTAATAAACCCGAGGTTAAAAGAAGCTACAAGAAAGGTCAACCACACTGTTTCAATGATGTTCTAAATGAACCTTTAGGCGAGGTGACCTTTTCAAAGTTTATGTACTCACCCCCCGATATGAAAATATTGTAAATGCTAACCCTTTAATTGCGAACAGTATTAACGAATGGAAATCATAATATCATTTCCTGAGAGTGCAATCCTGGAGCTTGTTGCGAAGAGGCATCGCAGTTAATTTGTGCCACTGAAAACCTGCTTTTCCCATGAAGTCATATATAGGCAGAGACTAAAGGGATTTATGAGCCACATCTCAGGAGCAGAGCAAAGCAATCCTCGTCCGTGAGAAGACTCAATGCAGCATGTACTAGGAGCATGAACACACATGGAAGCTCCTCAGATGCATTAGGCAGAACTAACATCAATGTTCCGCTGCAGATCCCATCAACACTGAGACTTACCAGACCTCATCTCTCCAACTTCACTTGCTCGTTTTTGACAACCTGTTACTGTATATGTTCAGTACTGATTCACATGGAGTATAAAAACTGAACACACACTGAAAAATAAACTTTAAGCAGTCTCATACATTCATAATTTATCTTCCTAGAGAACAGACCAAAAATATTGACAAGTATTTTGTACTTTTTTGTATGAGCACATTTTTGAGCACAAAAAAAGAAAAGTTTTCAGCATGAGAACGTCCCATCGTCATTAATAATAAATGCTACTAGCTTATAAAACATACAGTAATAGTACAAGACATCTGATCCAAAAAAATGTAAGGCTTAGGAGAAGCACTATATCCTTAACCCTTGTCCTGTGCTTAAAGTCCTTTACCTAATTTGGTTTTCCCGTTCAAAAATGACCGGCATTTTAAAAATTGCTTGTGAATCTCTCCTTATGCAATATTATCACCTATCTTGGATTCAATCCTTTTGTCAACTTGTTTTCTTTCAGTAAGCAAATGTTTTGTATTTTGAACTGATTAATGGTAGTACCACATTTTTTGAGTGAAAAAAGCATTATTTGTGGACAATTTTTGGCAATGTTCTACAATCTATCCTACAATCTATCAGTACCAAAAAGAATTACAAACTTGTGCTAATTGAAATAAAATACATTTTTGTAGATTATTTTTTACCACAAGTGCAAATAGGTGGGGGAAAAAACTAAGTAAAAAGATTATTGATTTTTTGGGAAGTTGTCATACCCTTTAGGCTTAAGTCCTAAGTGTAGGCTTAAGGAGGCTTAAGACTAAGTGTAAATAGCGATAGAGACCATTTACACTAAGTGAAAATAGCATATTTTCTTAGTGATAGATGCTATTTACACTACATGCAAATAGCTATAGATTCTATTTACACTGTTAAAATAGCAGGATTTTCTGCTATTTATACTACTTATTGCAAATAGTGGCAATTATCTACACCTCAGTATTGTACAGTAGTACATTATAAAACAGTATGCAATAATAACATATTGAGTGCAAATTATAATTTTAATTCAAATTATTAAATGGATGCCACCTTATTGGGACAATAAAACCCTCCCTACACTTACCCGATACTTCATTTTCACCTTTTTCATTATTTCCTTCATTTTTATTGAAAATAAATGCCTTACCGATGTGATATGAGTTTTTTAAAAGGGAGAAAGAAAAAACAGGATTTTCTGCTATTTATACTACTTATTGCAAATAGTGGCAATTATCTACACCTCAGTATTGTACAGTAGTACATTATAAAACAGTATGCAATAATAACATATTGAGTGCAAATTATAATTTTAATTCAAATTATTAAATGGATGCCACCTTATTGGGACAATAAAACCCTCCCTACACTTACCCGATACTTCATTTTCACCTTTTTCATTATTTCCTTCATTTTTATTGAAAATAAATGCCTTACCGATGTGATATGAGATTTGAAAAGGGAGAAAGAAAAAAAAAAAGAGATCGATGTTCAACGAGGCAGATTGGAACCTGGGTCGATTGCGTCAAAAATGACTATGGCACACACTTTACCATCTACGCCACTGTAGCTGTTGTTTATCAATCGTCTTTTGAAGTGTTGACCACCCCAATCACACTTTGGTGGGCGGAGTTAGTGTAAATAGCCTATGCCAACAAGGCAGGCTATTTGCACTATAAGGCGGTAAATAGATACTTCGATAATATTAACTAGCCTTTTTGGGAACAAAATCCTCTCTGGGTCAAAATGACCGAAACACAACATGAGGATGTTATTGCTTGTTATGTCATGGCTGGTTCAGACAAAAATGGTTATATCTAGTCACATTGTGTTTGGTTAAGACAGTGTTATTGTCTTTTTCATGACTTACTGAAACCAGGACAAATAGAACCCTCTGGTTTTTTACAACAAAAGACATCCTGCAATCAGCGCTCCAGATCTCATTTGTGTGAAGGCTACTTGCTATTTAAAACAAGAACACACTCTTCAGACTGTGCCGCCCTGACTTCTGTTTCAATAGGTCATACAAAAGAACCCGTCAAATCATTTAATGGAGGCTTTATTGGTTCAGATCTGTTATTTTTTCTTCAGGTTTATATTAAAAGAGTTGAGAGAGCGACTCTACCTGAGAGAGGGGTCGGGACAGTCTGTGACTCTGTACGCTCTTCTCCTCTGAAGACCAGGAATGGAGCTGGAGGCTGAAAAATAAAGAAATATTTAGCCTTAAGTGCAGATCATGGGACATTTCTGAACTGGTGTTGAATTCAAGCAAGTTTTGAAGTAAACTACAGTTGACATGAAATGGGTTGCAGTTACATGAACCTGAGCCATACAGTTCGATTCAGATGGAAAATAGAAATGGACCAAGAAACTCAACAGAAGTAAACATAAGAATGTGAAACTAGACAGATGTGTCAAGAGGAGAAGTCATAAATTATGAGCCACAGGCACTTAGCTCTACAATAACTATTGTATAATACACTACCATTCAAAAGTCTGGTGAGTTTTTTTTTGTTTTTTTTTTGAGAGAGAGAGAGAGAGAGAGAGAGAGAGAGAGAGAGA